CTAAATTGCCCAGGGTGGCCTTGAACTTCTGATCCCACTACGTCAGCAGTCACTGGAACTACAGGTGTGCACCATCAGGCCTGGCTCTAACCAGATCTTGAAGTCCCCATTTTTATAGATGAGGGTAGAGGGGCGCTGAGAGATTGAGTAACTAATAAGTGGCAACGCTGAGATTTGAGGTCAGATCCTTCTTCTGACTCCAAAGCCTGAGCTCAAACTCAATGAGCAGGGAGTKCGGGTAACTCTTCGCTGGAGCCCGTAGACTCTTCCAAAACCCTGGTTACACTTGACTTCCGTTTTTTTGCAGCTTTCTGCAGCTCAAGACTCTGATCTTGAGGTGATAATCCCCTCACTGGCACCCCCAGCCTGGTTAACCTTCCAGGTTAATGACATCAAAGGTGTGTTTGAAGCAACTTCATTAGTGACAAGAGTGCCATATGTTTACAGCAGCGCAGAATCAGTACCTCCCTGAAGACTCCAGGCAGGAGAAACAGGAATTTGGAAATGAATAAGAGGAGGAAAGAAGCAGATAAGGATAGAACCTTTAAAAGTAGCTCTTACTAAAAGCACCCCTTTGCTTATTGCTGAATTTAATTCCTAGGAAAACGTAAGACAGAAACTTTTTTATTGTCTGCACTTTACAGCTTACTGAAAAGTCCACCCAAGCTAAGAGACTCATGTACATTCCCTCAGTGAATGACTGGGAGGCCCAGGAACCCACCTGCAGGCAGAGAGGTAGTGACCAGCATTGGGCAGGGCTGAGAGGAGTGATTTAGACCTTTAGGGCAGCAGGCACTTGAAGTTGAAGTCCCAGGCCTACCACCAACTGTGTTCCTGATCAGATCCCTTAATCTCCCTAAGCTTGTTTCCTCATCTGTGAAATGAGGATCGTGGCATTTCGTGAATGTTTATTCCTCATTCTTATGCAGGTATCACGTTCTGCTGGTGTTTTGTACTCAGACCTTAGTGAGTTGGGAGCTGCTCACTCTCCTGTTTACCAGATTTACTTTGCTCAACTCTAGTCTGGAAATGGATTTGTCTTTGTATGCCCCTCTGTGCCTTTCAGATACTAGGGAAAGGGAGGGAAAAAAAAAAAAACTTGTTAAATGAGAGAATAAGGAAGTTTTCCTTTAACTGTCTACATTTTCCCTGGCCTTACTTTCTCCAATGAAAAAGTGACAACCAAGCAGGGCATGGTGCCAATGCCTGTAATCCCACCTTCTCAGGAGACTGAGGCAGGAGGATTGCAAGTTCAAGGTCTGTCTCAGCAATTTAGCAAGGATCTAAGCAACTTAGTGAGACCCTGTTTCTGAATAAATAAATAGATAGATAGATAGATTGGGCTGGGGATGTGGCTCAGTGGTTAAGCACCCCTGGGTTCAATCCTTACTGCAAAGCTAAAAACAAAAACAAACAAACAAAAAACTACCGTCATGGTCCCTCTCCTAAAACCATAAGCATTTTGGGCAGAAAGAAAACAAAGAACAAAGTACTTTGGCCCCTTGAAAAACAGGATGCTTTTCAAGGCATAACCATAGCACATCACACATAATCTGTGAAGCCCTAATGCGTGTCTGAACAGGTGGGAGAGTGAGAGGAGAGGGGAACTTGGACTCAGGGGCCCTTGCAAAGTGCTGTCCTCTCTTCCCCTCTTAGCAGGCCTACAAAGTGGGCGCAATTGTGTTCTTTTTCAGATGGGAAACCTGAAACTCAGCTAGGGTAAGCAGCTTATCCGATTGTCTGATTCCAAAGCCTAATCTGTCCCTAGAATGCCTATCAACTCTCGTGGGACAATTCCACTTACATTTTCCCCCCTGCGTAGAGCTGTCCCTCTAGAAAAACTTCTCTGGGTTCTTAGCAAAACCTAGACAATGCCACGAGCCCTTGAAGCTGCATTTGGAAATGCATTTGGAAATTCCACAAGCCCTTAGTTGTGAGCTTTTCGAAAGAGCACCCTCCGATGCTGCTGTCTGACAGGGGACACCATTTGGGAGCGGCTGGAGAGCAGCAGAGCGACTGGGCCAGCCTGGTCCTTCTGGTTCCCAAACCTGACAGGACTGTTCGCTCTTGCGCAGACTTCAGCAGGCTCAATGCATGACCCGTGCCAACTGCAGAAACTTTGGAGGAATATCTAACCAGAGTCAAGCTCCTAAGGAGACAGAGATGACTCAAGGCGGATTTGTTCCCCATTCCTTATTCCCAGGGAGAGTATTCATTATGCCTGGTTCTTCATCTTTTTATGCCCTGGGGAGTATTTTAAAAGCAGTGACATTTTAGGCTTTTAGCAAGCAGATGTCAAAGACTGAGATGTGTGAGAAGGGGATAGAAAATGGATAGTTTACTGCCACTCTAGGCCAAAGTACAGAAGAGAAGTGCCTGCATCACAGCGTGGAAATGACATGCTCCAGTCTCCTGCTGTACCATGGGAGCAAGTGCCACATATCTTGGTGGATTTCTCCTGATTTCTCTGTGTCACAGTCTGATCTCGCTTTATAAGGAAGCTTGGGGAAATCTCCCGTCCGTGTACAACTCTCATCTAAACACATAGGTGGTTAAATTTCAGAACATCGAGTGGCGCACGCCTGTAATCCTGGCTACTCAGGAGGCTGAGGCAGGACCATCACAAGTTCAAGGACAGCTYCAGCAACTTAAGGAGACTCTGTCTCAAAATAAAAAGTAAAAGGGTCTGAGGATATAGCATAGTGGTAAAGCTATATCAATYCTCAGTACTTCAAAACAAAATGTAACAAAACCTCAAATCTCTTGGACAAGATATTCTCTCTCCTTCTCAAGATGTAAATTGTTCAAAAAGATATCTTTATTTGGCTTTGAAATCTGATTCAAGTTCAGGGCTGTGATAAATTGCTGATAACTCTAAATTATCCTTAATGATAATATACATTTGATAATTTTTAGTCTTTAAAAAGCAACCAACCACAGGTTGCCAAACTTATATAATATACAATATTGTACAATATATAATAATGTCAATCATGCAAAAAGTCCACACCTGTATAATCAAATATGCATTAAAATTAACAAAAATAATTTGATTACCAGTTTCAGTTATTCTCATATCATAAAAATTACAGGCTATTTTTATTCTTTATACTTTTTCATTTTCCAATTTCTTCATAATAAGCATAGAATTATCTTTATACTCAGGAAGAAAGATTATATGGAAAAAGCCAAGTTACCTCTGCAGCTATGGACATCACCTATTATAAATTCAGATATTTAATAGGAAATTTAAGATGTGAAAGAACAGAAAAATTTCAGATTTTGAGAAAGAAGATTTGAAGGAAGACAAGGAGCTTATTGTTTTATTGTTTTCTTCAGCAGACGTCCAGGAGTTATTTGCATCTGATTTTTTTTTTTAATAGTAGTGGAGGCAGAATTCAACATACAAATAGAATATTTTGGGGTTTAATCCCCAGCATGCGCGCGCACACACACACACACACAATGCCATAAGTAATATTGGAGACACCATTAAATGTGTTGCCAATCTCTGAGAATCCAAGTCAAGTCAATGATTTTGAACGTTGGAGGGTAGAAAAATATTGACCAAAGGGACAGCTCAAGTTCTCTCTGAGTGATGCCTCGCTCCTGCAGGTTCACTGGGAGCAGCAGAAGCACCCAATCCTGGGATGGCTGGCCCCAGTTCCACGCAGCTCTTCCATTGACCAGTTGACACTGGGCASTTCGCACAGCCTCACAGGCACCTCTACACTTGTTTATAGACGATGTGGGGCCCCAGATCTACCATTCTGTTTTCCCTGGCTAAGAATGGCATGACTCAAAGTCCAAGACTGCCACCACCCCAACTCTAATGTCCAACCAGGCCACTCCTTCCCTGGAATAGCCACTCAACCCCTGTGCAAGTGGGGTTTCCTCATCCCTGGGTTTCAGGTGTCCTCCCTCGGAAGATGTTGCAAGGACTGACTAATGCACATTAGTGTCCCAATAACAATGATATGCAGTGCAGGTGCTGGGAGTTCCACAGCCACAAYAGCACTGTGGTGACCGCAAAGCCACCTTTGTGTCTTGAATCTGGGCTTTCCATCCTACCATTTGGGGTTCCAGCTTAAGTCTCAGATGATGTCACTTTCCCCAGGGACTGGAAAGCATTCACTAGGATAGATGGCTATGGCTAGTTTTATATAGTAGGGGAAGTCCATTCTTAGGAAGCCAGGAGTGCCTTCTTCAGAGTACCCCTCAAAGAACAACCCCAGGGGGTTGTTATTTTCTTTCCTTTTTGCAGTGCTGCAGATCAAAGGCAGGGCCTGAGGCCACGGAGCTACACCCCTCCGTTGTAGCCCTGAGATTATCTTTCCCAGAAACCACTGAAAACATTGCCAACTCTAAAGTTTCCTCCTTGAACCCAGAGAAGACGAATCCTCAGGTTTTGTCTTGTTTTTAACATTCCTAGTTAGCTCCTGAGAGTCCTGTCCTGGTTTCAGGCAGCGCAGGATTCATCCCTCGAAGTCAGCAGCTTTATTTTCTGTATGTATGTAGCTAGGCATGTCTGTATGGTGCTGGGGACTAAATTCTAAAATAAATAGGACTGGGCTAGTTAGACCTCACTAGTTGTACTGAAATTGAACGCAATTTTATTCATTAATTTATTGGGGTGTTGGGGACTGAACCCGAGTGCACGCCGGCAAACCCTCCAGCCCAATCCTAGTAGCTTTATATCCTCTCCACACACAGCGCAATTCGGGAGGTGGGTTTCTCCTGGGTAACAAGTGACAAGCTCGCGCCCTCACCGACGGGAAAAGTCGCTCCTCTCCCAGGTGTGTGTCCCGAGCATCTGAACCTGTCTCTCCACAGGTCAGCCCCGTCTGTCCGGCACGGGCCTGGGAAACACCCGCAAGCAGGTGTTTTCCGGAGACCCGTGCGGGTGCCCGGCGGCCGTGAGGTGGGGGTGGGAGGCGGCGGCAGCTGGAGGGCGGAGTCGCCCCGCGCCGGGAATCCTTTCCCGGCTTCTGCCTCGCGGAGTCGTCTTCACTCGCGGTGGGCCCCGCTCCATCGTGGGGCTGGAGACCGGGCCAAGCTCTCCGGCACCACCCAGAGGCCCAGCCCGCGCGCATCGGGCTCGGGGAAGCTTCGACGCGTCTGGCCGGGACCGCGTCCCCTCTCCGCCAAGGCCCAGACGGAGCCCAGCGCCTGCTACTCGAGCCGCTGGCCCCGGCCCGGCGCGACCGCGGGAGGCAGGCGGCCCGTATGCAAATGTCCCGCGGGGGCCGGGGGACGCCTCCAGCGCCCGGGATAAAAGGCGGAGTGAGGCGCGCGGGGCCGCAGAAGTCGCTGCCTCCCGGGAGCCTGCCGTGCGCTCAGGCCCCCGCGCCCCTGCCCGCAGCCCCGACAGCGCGGTCCTCCCCGCGGCCCCCGGTAAGGACGCGCGGCAGCGCAGACACCAGGCGAGGAGGTGGGCCAGAGGCGCCGACGCCGCGATTGCGGCACCGCCCCGGGCGACCCACGTCCCCCCGGTCGGGACGTGCCTCCGAGCGCCCCAGAGACCCTAGTCCGCGCTTTCTCCCTGGGAACTTGGGAAGCCGACTCCCACACCGCGCTCTCCCGGACTGAGCAGGTGGCATCTCCCTAGGTGCCGCTCTGGGACAGTTTGTCCCCAGGCCATTGGCAGTGAAGACGGAAAGAACTGCGTTTGGTCMGGGTTAGGAGGGACTAAGAGGATCTCAGGCTGGAGTGAGTGGGAGTCAGGAGAAAAAGGCCAGGGGACCCCCGATAGTCCATGTTATTTTCCTGTTTCCCCCCCAGAAGTCCCGGGACGCTCGGGAGGCAACGGCCCGGAGAACCCGCGAGGGGGACCGTGTGGGTGGGTGGGTACGCGTTTGAATGAGCAGAATCGACTTTCTGGGCCCCTGCGCTGCCCTGAAACTGCGAGTTACTCAGCCCTGCGGAGTCCTCACCTCCTCTAGTCAAAAAAGTCCTGCTCCGCAGCCCCCTTCCTCCTTCTTATTTTAAAAAAGAAGAGACCTTCTAAAGTCTGTTTTTTGTTTTTAATTTTTTTTTTTTTTTGTACCGGGATTGAACTCAGGGGCACTTCATCACTGAGCCACATCCCCTATCCCTTCCCCCTTTGTATTTTATTTAGAGACAGGGTCTCACTGAGTTACTTAGCTCTTCGCTAAGTTGCTGAGGCTGGCTTTGAACTTGGTATCCTTCTGCCTCAGCCTCCTGAGTTGCTGGGATTATAGGCGTTCATGCCAACAGGCACTGGCCTAAAGTTTTTGAAGCTAATCCCAAACTCAAGGTTGGTGGGTTAATCTGGGGTTTGTGATGGCTCCTTCCTTCATCCACCCATCCTGCACCGGAAAGATGCAATGTGTGAGGAAGAAAAATATCTCAGAGAGCACCCAAGTCTGACTGTCTGTCCCCCCAGCTTACGATGGCAGGCAGCAGTTGTGACCTGGGTCCTGGGGAGAGTGAAAGGAACCAGCCCTCCTGCTTAAAACCAGTCAGGGCCACGTGGGGATGAGAGCCTGTGAGTCTCCTGAGGGCTTCTCCAGAGGAGATGAGCACATTGCTTCGTTCCTATGGGTGTCTTTGGAGCTAGACTCTGAACTACAAGGTCAAAGAGACAAGGAATGAGAAACAGGAAAAGTGACGGATCCAGAGAGGATTAATTCTGAAGGCAGGGAGTGGTGACAAGTAGAGACATCTGACACATCTCTCCTCCTGTTTCTGTTTGTGTGCGTTTGTCTTGGTTCTAGACAGTGACTGGGAAACAGAAGACTGGAAACATGTCCGAGTTTTGGTTGATTTCGGCCCCTGGTGATAAGGAGAATTTACAAGCGCTGGAGAGGATGAATACTGTAACCTCCAAGTCCAACCTGTCCTACAACACCAAATTTGCTATTCCTGACTTCAAGGTGAAATTCCTGGGGAGGGGAAAGGAGACAGTGGACTGGTGGGCAGGAAGCAGCCTCTGGGGAATGAAGGAGAAAATAACAGGTCAAAGTGGGGACATTGAGGACAAGCCTGAGCTAGGGGATAGATAGGGGAGTCGGTGGGCTCCGTGGGTCTTCAGGCCATGGCTCCAAACTAATTGTGGCACCTTGGGCTTGAAGCCCCAGGAGAGAATGAGAAGAGGGAGATGGTGGCATCTAATGCTTCATATAAGTGGGAAGAACCTATGAATAGCAGGTCCTCACCCATGGTCCTGGGGACCTTTCTGTTTTGTCTGCAACATCTAAGAAGACCAACCACAGACTTGGGGTGTTCCGGCTTGCAGGCCTCAGGCCTCAGTTGTACTCCTGACCTAGGGGAAAGGCAGGAAATCCAGGATCTTTCTGATTTTGTTGGGGGGGGGTGCTGTACAGACAGCTGGCAGAGTGGCAGAGGTTTGGGGTAGTGCACAGTGTCTGAGAGCTCTTGTAGTGGACAGCAAAATGAAGATAAAAGGGTAAAGAGGAGGAAGATATATACAATCCTCAAAAACAGTGGACTTGGGCTGGTGGTGTTGCTCAGTGGTAGAGGGCTGGCCTGGCACGTGAAGTCTTAGGTTTGATCCTTAGCACCACACATAAACAGAACACAGACTGGCAGTATTTCCTAAGACTGTAGGTTTCCAAGGAGAAGAGGTAGCTAAAGAATTCTTTGGGACCACACCAATGTACACACACTGAGGGTGCCAACCACCCAGAGTCCTTATAATCAATCCTCTTCCAATCCTCAGTTTGCCCCTCTGCCAAAAGAGTGCACTGTCACCCTGAGTTGTTGGTGATGCTGCTCCATGTGCCAGCATTTATTGAGCAATGTGCTGGCAGCCAGGCCCTGTAAACAGAAGATTCCTTGTGGAGTCTTCGAGGCTCCCCCTGACAAGGTTGGGATGGGCTGAGAGAAGCTTAGTGACTGCTAGRCTGTGGGGCTGGCAAGTGGCAGGTGGGGTTCTGTGTCCAGGTCTTGCTGCTTCTTCAAGCCTGCCTCTGTTAACCCTGGGGACAGACACTGTAGAGGTTAGTGAATCCAGCCTCCACTCATTTACTGAGCAGGGCACCGTGCTAAACTCTGGAGGAAACAAAGTTAAAAAATGACATGGCCCTACTAAAAGTTGCTTAAAACTAAGTTGCTTGCATGTCTATAGTCCCAGAGACTTGGGAGGCTGAGGCAGGAGGATCTCAAGTTCAAGGGTRGCCTCAGCAATTTAGCAAGAACCTGCCTCAAAATTTTAGAAAAAGGTATGTAGCTCAGTGGTTAAGTGCTCCTGGGTTGAATCCTCAGCACCCTTTGCCCTCAAGAATTAATTGTTTTGAAAATAATCGACTTCACCAATATCCAGTGGAGATTTCCAGGCTTATTAGTTTTTAAATTTGGGGGATTCTGGGGACTTAATGCAGGGCCTTGCTCATGCTAAGCATGTGCTCCACCATAGAGCCATGCCCCCAGCCCTCCCTAATTGCTTTTAAAGTCTGGTTGGTCTAATCACAGGATGGCAAACCTTTTCTTTCTGATTCTGTGAAAAGACCTTTCAATACAATTTTGCGCACTCATTTCTGCACTAAGAGACAGGTCATGAATAATCCACAAAGAAAAGGGCCTCGAGGGGATGTAGCTTAGGTAGAGTGCTTGCCTCACACAGGGCCTAGGTTCTGTCTCCAATATCGAAGAAAAACAAAAACAAAAGAAAGAAAAGGACCGTTACAAATGAGTGGGAAGAAAAGCTGCTCCCTTCTAATCAAGATCAATGTCAATAGCAGCCAAGGACACAGAAAGGGATGGCAGCCCGTCTTAGGGAAGAAAGGCCTTTAGAAAGGATAACTTGTTACAGTTGCTGGGGATTCATCTCATGAACAGCAGACTGCCTCTCTCAGAGGGAAATGAGCTCAGGTCAGCCCATGACGTAATAGTCCTTCCGATGGTGGAGATATCACAGTTTATCCTGTTGGTCCCCAAAATAACATAAAAATCCTAAATCCCTGGGTTTCCCTTAGGAGTTCTTCCCACTTCTCAGTTGGGCTGTTGGCCAGGAGCAGCCAACTCCAGATCAAGCCAGAGTGCCTCACACTGCTCTTGAAGTGACAGCCACGCCTCTCTGCCAGCCAGCACTAATTATTTTATGATCTTTCTAGGTGGGGACCTTGGATACTCTTGTTGGTCTCTCTGAYGAGTTGGGGAAACTCGATACCTTTGCTGAAAGGTAAAATATTTCTTATTTACTACATACAAGTGAGAATTTGGCATTGTTGTCAGAGGACACAGTGTTCTTGCTTTGGCTGAATCAAAGTATGGACTCATACTCTAAACCTGGCTCCAAAAGTCAACAGAGTGATCAGGTGGGTCCCCTGGGGGAGTGGGGTCAGCAGGAGCATGCTGGGCCCATCCTTGCTTTGTTTGCCGGAAAAAGCATCTTTTTTTTTTTTTTGGTACCAGGGACTGAACCCAGCGGTGCTTAACCACTGAGTCCCATCCCCAGACCTTTTAATGTTTTGAGACAGGGTCTCTCTAAGTTGCTTAGGGCCTTGCTAAGTTGCTGAAGCTGRCTTTGAATCTGATCCCCCTGCCTCAGTCTCCTGATCTGCTGGGATTACAGGCAGGCCCCACYACCAGCTAGAAGGCAGCATCCTATAAGGGATTGCCTTCAGTATGAAGATCATGCATAAAGCTGAGTCACTTAGAAAAATAATTGGTGCAATTCCCCTCAAGGGTTAAGTTTGTTGGGTTTTGATAATATATGTAATAAAAAAGTACAAAAAAGAAAGAATGTAGAGTGAAAATTAAGTTTCCCTCTGATGTGTTTTCCTCTTCCCTGTCCCCTGTCCCCTCATTCCCCTCTTCCGAGGCAGTGCTATGACTTTCTAGGCAGACCTTCCAGAGAGAGCCTATTTGAGCACAAGTCAACATGCATGTGTTTCATATGTGCTCTCATAAAGTGCAAACAACTGTGTCTTGCTTTTTTGTTTAATAGCATAGCTTAGAGATAGTTCCATGTCAGTTCATTGCTGCACATTCTTTTTACTAGCTGTATGGCCTTAAATAGATGTACCCTCGTTTATTTGATTTCTCTGTTGTTGGATGTTTGAATTTTCTAGTCTTTTGCTATCACAGGCAGGGTGGTGATGACTGTCCTTTGTGCACATGTAGAAGTGGAACACTTAAARGTGGTAGTTCTGGGTCAAAGAGTTTTTGCAAGGACAGCTTACAGATATGTCCCCAGTGCCCTGCCAAGAAGTTGTTCATTCCATTCACACGCTCACCAAAAGTGTATGAAATATCGTACGGTCTTAGCATGACATTTCTTTTAAATAAGTTTATTACAAATTTGGTGCATAATCACTGGGAATCAGTTATAGCTCATAGAATAGTGTGAAAAAGAAACTACAACTCACCCACGATCACATAGTCCAGGGACAAACACTGTTACATTGTGTTTATAGCCTGTACCTCCAATTTTCCCAGCACATATATTATTTGTACATGTAAATCCATATTTTGCTGTTCTCTTCATATTTTAGATTTTTTTATGTATTGAGGGTTGAACCCAGGAGCACTTGACCACTGAGCAACATCCCCAGCCCTTTTTTTTTTTTTTTTTTTTTTTTGTAAATTTTGAGACAGGGTCTTGCTAAGTTGCAAGGCCTTGCTAGTTACTGAGGCTGACTTTGAACTCTTGATCCTCCTGCCTCAGCCTCCCAAGCTGCTGGAATTATAGGTGTGCACCACTGTGCCTGGCAAAAATCATTTTTTAAACTTAGAGTCTTTGAACTGTAGAAATTGGTACTGTGGATTGAATTTGGGGCACTTTACTGCTAACTTACATCCCCACATCCTCAGTCTTTTCTTTTCTTTTTTTTTTTTTTTWAATTTTGAGACAGGGTTTTGCCTTTTAAGTTGCTGAGGCTGGCTTTGATCCTGCAAGCCTGCCTCAGCCTCCAGAGTTTCTGGGATTACAGGTGTGCACCATTGCACCTGGTGTATAGGTCATAGTCTTTGAGAAAGAAAACCGACTTTGTCTTCCTCATCTATAAAGGGAGGTACAGTGACCATCTCTCTGCTTTCAGGGAGGAATGTAGGGCAGTAGAATAATGTTAAGTGTCATCAAATCCCAGGGCATGTCCTGTGAAAAATCACCATCCAGGAGATGTGGCTGGATTCCCAAGTGCCAGCTCCTGTCTGCGGCTGCTCTGTACCTGAGGTCTATGAGCCTTCTGTAGCAAGAGGACAGATGCTAGTCAGATCTTCAAATCGGAGGACCCCAAGCCTAAGCAAGGGCTCTGACAGATGCCATCGAGGGCAGCCCCTGCCCTTGGCTGGGATGGCCTTCCGTGTTCCCTGCCAGCCCTGACAGACCACAGGCTGACCAAGAGGCTCTTCAGTCCTCGGCAGAAACTCCAGMTGAAGGAAGGTGAACTGCTCCGTGGCAGCTGCTCAGCACTGTGGTCTCAGCCCTCAGTGGCTGCCCTTCTCTCCCTCCGTCCCACTCACCAGTGCCCCCAGCTCTGAGCTTCTGTGGGCCTGGATTATTGCTGTTGGTTCCACCTGAGTTAGTTAGTTTCTTTCTTTCTTTCTTTCTTTCTTTCTTTCTTTCTTTCTTTCTTTCTTTCTTTCTTTCTTTCTTTCTTCTTCTTTTCTTTTTTTGATTGCCCTTTTCTTCCCAATAGACAGTTGTGTTTTGTTCTGTACGTATTTGTTGTACGAGTTGCCTCTGATGGTTTTATAGCATATTTGTTTATTGTTGTTGTTTGTTGTTTTTGGAAATGAGGTGAACCCAGAGGTACATAACCATTGAGCCACATCCCCAGCCTTTTTTATTTTGAGACAGGGTCTCACCAAGTTGCTTGGGGACCTCTCTAAGTTGCTAAGGCTGGTCTTGAACTTGAAATCCTCCCGMCTCAGCCTCCTGAGCCTCTGGGATTATAGGCATGCGCCACCACACCCAGCATGGTGTAGCATATGCTTAAAAAAAAACTAGAAAATTCATGCACAAGCAAGTCGTGAGCTCTCGTTTTGAAACACAGAAACTGTACAAATGAGAGTGTTTTTACAAACAGGGACTAGGTGTGGTCGAGAATGAAAATCACTGTGCGCTGTTTTGAGTTTTGCTTGTAGGTGTGTATTCCCAAGAGCTTTCCTATCAGGGAAAAAAGAAAAATAGTGAGGTTTGAGTGCCCTTAGAGTTCTAGCTTTGCTCTAGTCCAGGGCCTGGAACTGATAACTCCCAGGTCCATTTGGGAACAACCWCCCTGGCTCCGTGGAAAGTGCTCCAGTGTGATTAGATAAATAAACCCCAGCTGGGCCTGYAACCTAGGCAGCATAAACCTGTCAGCACTGCTTCTGCCCAGGAGGACAGAGAAGGGACAAGAGTTTTCAAGGTGTATTGTTTCCCTATCCTTTTATTATTTATTTACCGGGGACTGGAGTGTTTTTCCATGTAGTTGGAAGGCAGCCTTGGCTTATGGAGCTTTCCCTTTACTTTTTTATTTATTCTTTCATGCCACTGTGTTAATTTATTCTGTATTTGCGTGGTGATTCATGAACATTTGAGAAGCCCAGTGCTTTTATCTTTTAAAATCTGCCCCCTCCGCCCCGCCCCAACCTTTCAGCATGTGAGTCTGCCCCAACATCGTGGCCTGTCCTGCTGCGGTCCTGGTTGAAATATTACATTTCGCAGGCACTTGGCATTCAGCTATGCCTCATGGTTTCTCTGGGGCCATGTTGACTGCCTCTTGCCCCTGAGCGCTTTGCCTGTGTTGTGGAGTAGCTGGTGGCTTTCTCTAAACCACGTGGTTCGTGAAGCTGTCTGAGGGTTGGCTGATCAAAGATCACGGATCTGAGTGTGGATGTCCACTTGGTGATGCCAGTGAGTTCTTGTGGGGACCTTCTAAATAGGAGTGAGATGGAACGGAAAGAAGTGCCCAGGCTTCTCTTCTCTGTCCATGCAGAATATCAGGTTGAGGTTATCTGTGGACATTTCAGACCCGTCCTGCACCTGCCCGTCCACCTGCCCCCCTGACACCTCTCCCAGCTCCTCCCCATGCCTCCGGACCTCCTGCTCGCCTTCTCCAAGCAGAGTGCCGCTGCGCTCCCTCCTCCACGGCCCTCACCCCCAGGGACAGGCCTGAGAGAGGCGGTCTAAGGCCGTCCTCTGACCCCATTCTGCTCTCTGCTTCTGTGAGTTAAACTGTTTTAGATTCCACCTGGGAGGGAGGAGAGGCTGTCCTCCTTTCTCTGTCCTTGCGCTGTTCACCATGGCATGTGCTAGCCACCGGGCTCAGCGGAGCTCTTGAAATGTGACCAGTCTGAACRCAGATGTGTGTCAAACACACGTCAGGTTCAAAAGACAGTACGGGAAAAATAACTTCAAATATCTTATTATTCTTTTTAATGTGAACTGCCTGTTAAAATGATAATATTTTGGATATTAGATGAAATAAAGTAGGTTGCTAAAATTAATTTCACCTGTTTTTACTTTTGGAAATGTAGTGATTAGAAGTTCTTGAATTACTTTTGTGGCTTCTGTAATATTTGTGTTGGGCAGCACTGGGCTATAGCTCTGAGTGTTTCTCAACCTTGAACATGGAAGTGAGTGCCCTGGGGATCTTTAGACAACGCGGTTGTGACTCAGGGGATCTGAAGCCAGGGATTCTGCATTTCTTACCGTGTTGCTGGCCTGCAGACTGCACTTGGCTTACCAAGGCTCAACACTTTAAATTAGTGGCTCTTCAACTTCAATGTGCGTCCGAATCATCTGGAAGGTTTGTTAGAGCATCATCCATTCCTGGGCCTCATCCCTAGAATTTGTTATTCTGAGGGGCCTGAGAATCTGACTCTCTAAGTTCCCCAGGTGGCAGTGCTGCTGGTCCTGGCTGAGCTTACAATGGCTTCTTCACCTGGTGGAGGGGCGATCTGTTTCCCCATGGCCCAAAAGATGTCGTTATGACATGTGCATTTTTAGAACTGGTTCTTGGATGATACAAAATTTTCCAGTTCTGTTGGTGTGTTGATTTTCTCTTGGGGAAGGAGTACTGATATTGGTATATTGTGTTTTTGGAGAGAAGAGTCAGTTTCATGAGCTTTTTYRGGTTATTTGCATGGAGTCTATCAGRGTCTGCTGTAGCTGCACATTTCCCGTTGGTTTTGGTCTTTGCATTTCCTCTGGTTATGCTACCCRTGGTCTACCTGTTTTGCTTTTAAGAGGAG